CTCCTGGATGTGGTAGTTCTGTGGGAAGGGGTAGATTAGGGGTACATAGGGTACCTTCCTCTTCACTGTTTATTTCTCATCAGCTCTGGTTCTGGGTTGGAAACCACAGTAAGATGTCATTGGATCTGACTGGTCCTCAGTGGTAGCAGAAGTCCATCACAAGTTTTGTAATGCCTGTCCATCTAGGCACCCAGTTGGCCTCCTGTAGCGTGTGTGTGTGTGTGTGTGTGTGCGCGCGCGCATGTGTGTGTGTGTGTCAGGGAGAGGTGTGTGGTCCGAACTGGGTTCCACCTTCCAGGTAGGTGGCCTGGGAGGAAAGACACTCCATAAGCATCTGGGACACTGGTGATGGGTCAAGGTCTCAGGTGGGAAAGATATTCCAAGAGATCTGAGAGTCAACAGAACTGTTCCCAATAAACTCTGGAGATATGCTTAAAAACTTTTTAACCATGTGTTATAGCATTTGCTGATTTGTATTTAGACTCATCCATTCATTTGGGCTTGAAGACCGGTATTCTCATTCTGTCTGTATTCCTCTGCGTGGGCTGCTATAACAAAGTGACAACAGACTGTATGGTTTAAATAGCAGAAATGTGTTTTCTCCCAGTTCTGGAGGTTAGAAGTCCAAGATCAAGGTGTCATCAGGGAAGGTTCCTTCTGAGGCCTCTCACCTTGGTTTGTGGATGGCTGTCTCCTCCCTGGGTCCTCAAGTGATCTCCCCTCTGTATGTGTCTGTGTCTTAATCTCTTATAAGGACACCACCCAGGTAGATTAGGGTCCACCCATATGACTTCACTTTACCCCTTGAAAGACCCTGTTTCCAAACACAGTCACATCCTTGAGGTACAGGGGTTAGGACATCAACATATGAATTCAGCACTTAACAGTGAATGTTGTTGCCTCTCCCTCCGTTATACATTATACGCTGAGATATCTCAACTCAGAGAAAAGTCCCCTCACCAGGGGAAATGTGGGATTTGGGCTGATACTTTTCTATTATTTACCAGTTTCCAAAGTTATGTGTGGCACCAAGCATCCTGCAAAGGTGCTAAGTGAGCCTTTCCCCAAGTATCACTATGAATCTGTGGACTGAACAATCCTTGTCATATTTCTACTCATTCCAGTTATGATTCCCACTGTCCCTCTTGTCCTGTGGGAGCCGTGTCCACTCAGCCCAGGAGTCCTTCTAACACCATGCTAGTTGTTCCTGACGATGTCTTATTTTCTTCCAGGACAAGACGTGCTGGGATCTTTGTGTATACTTCCTACCCTGATCTGCCCATGCTGTCAGACACAGGCGTTTGGGGGCTAACAGGACCTGCTTGATGCTGGGGACAGTGGCAGTGGCTTGTCCTGCATAGAAGGCGGGGAGTCTGAGGATGGGTTTTGGACACTCCTGAAGTGCCCAACTTGTTCCGTGGGGCCTGCCAGATTCCAGATGGTCGGGTGTGCAAGAGCTTGTCTAAGCCATGCTGAGCTGGGCTTTGGTTGCCTGCAGCTGAAGGGGTTCTAACAATCACCAGGGGACCACATGAATGGAGAGAGAGGTGTGGCAGGAAAGGAACAGGGAGGAGAAAGATGGTTTTCCCACTAAATCTCCTCTCCCTCAGCTACCCATCTCTGTGGGCAATGAAACTCGCTGGGGTGGTGACTTTAGCATCTGTACAGCAAAGGCGCTCTCTGGAGACAAAGTCCAGTGCATCCTGAAGGCACAGAGCTACAGAGAGTTTCTTTAAGGCTGGAGTGAAAAGCCCAGTGCCTGGCCAAGTTCTCAGTTCAGAAGGGTTCATAGGGCTATCGGTCCAGAGCTGTGCTCTTGTCTGGGAGGGTCCTGGCAGAGGTTCAGGGCTTGAGAACAGAAAACCTTTGAACACGAAACTACCAGGTGGCATTCAGATGTGGGAGGCACAGGATCATCTAGTCAGCTGCCTGGTACTGGGTCTGGCTTCCAGCAGAGCCCTCAATGTCTCCCCATTGTGTGGGGGCCCTGGCCACTGTCAGGACTGCATGGAGCATGCATCATCCTTTACCTGTGGCAGCCCCTGAGCCATGCGACTAGAAGGCATTGACAGGTGCTGTAAGACAGCCTGCTTACCTCCCTGTCTTTAAAGAGAACAGGTTTTCTTCTAAGGAATGGGGCACTGACAGCCTCATGCACCACGGCTTTTTAGGGGATTGAGAGCCCAACAGCCAACACTGGTTTATTTCCAGACAAGGGCGCAGTTGGTACAGAATTCATTTCTATCCGTTTGCCTTTCCCCAGATACAAGGTACTCATCGCTGCTGAAAGAAAGAGGACAGTCCAGATGGAACTGCCTAAAACATCACACTGGATGCGGAGCTGGTTCATTGAACCCCCACCAACTGCCTCGCCCCCTCCTTCCTCCACTGTACTCTCTTCTCAGGCTGCTCTGTGGCCAGGAACCCGCAGGAGCTCAGCTTGGGTTAGCAAGGTTCCAAATGACAAGACAAACCTTTCACAAAGAGAAGGTATTTGGATGTGATGCCTGGAGCTCAGCATCTATCATACGACAATGAGACTAAAACCACACGATAATAACGGTGGATGGGGCACCTGTGTGGCTCAGTTGGCTGAGTATCTGATTTTGGCTCAGGTCATGATCTCACAGTTTGTGAGTTCGAGTCCCACATTGGGCTCTCTGCTGTTAGTGCAGAGCAGAGAAAGCCCGCTTTGGATCCTCTATGTCCCTCTCTCTCTGCCCCTCCTCACTGCTCACTCGCTCGCTGTCTCTCTCTCTCTCTCTCTCTCTCTCTCTCAAAAATAAGTAACATTAAAAAAAGTAATGGTGGAGCAGGGAGAGGCTGGGAGCCTGAATCCCTGAGAACATTTAGAGCTGCTTTGCCAGCCCTGGACCACCCACCTCAGGAAGGAAAGCCCGTTAGAGAAGCAGCAGCAGCCCCTTTCTCCTGTGAGCTCCTTGCAGCCCAATGCTATTCAGGACACATCTTCCTCTGGGGGCTTATAGCATGGCTTTCTGTGGCTGCTTCCATTTTTCTTGGCATCACAAGGGCTGAGAAGAGAGGCTGAATCCGTTCCTTAGATGGGCTCCTGACCTCCTCTCAGCTTCTCCCCAGTAACCCCAACCACCAGGTAACAACAAATGAAATGCTAGGACCTGGTATTTGCCAAAAGGCCCCCAGTCTCCTCTGTAGGTCAGGAAAGAAGGACAGTACCACTGAGGAGCTCTGGGGCTGCTTCCCCTGGTGATCGCTCCCTCGACAGGTGTGTCTCTGTTCCTCCCACCTTTAGCTGGTCCTTTTGGGGAGACACAGCACTAACAGTGGCCAGGAAGGGACATATTCAAGACATTTAGGTTTATCTTTGAAGCAACACTGAAGGATCAGGAGACAGGACTGCCTTAGAGATAGGCAGTGTTGTTTCCTAGTACTTAGAGCAAGGGCATTGAGGACTTCAGTGCATGGAGGGACTGTCCTGCAATGGTCACTTCATAATGCAGTGGTGATGTCCATGGGGTGAGGAAATTGAGGGCAAAGCAGGTAAAAGGGTTCAGCATCCAGGGAGATGGGTGTTACTGCACTGACAGAGACACAGGAGGCAGGCTGGGAGGTCACATAAGACCCCTGATGGTAGGTGCCCCCAAACCTGGATGTAACAGGTGCTTAACATGCATTTACGGAACTAACCCTTGGCCCCCAAACAGATCCCGTGGGACCGTTGAGCTTCAGGCTGAAGGGAGACATAGGGAACAGGGCCACACCTACCAGCACCCCGAAGCCTGACAAGAGTGGTACAGGGGGTGTGTTGCTGGCGATACTTAAAGCCTTGAAGCCTGCGGAGCATTTGTGTTCTCTCCAAACAGTATTTGACATACTGCACAGAAGTTTCCCAGCCTGGGCACAAGCTTCCGCTTGTGCAGAAGGTGGCACCGTGGCACCAGACCTGCAGTGGGCCATAGGGACTGGACGGGTCCATGTGCAGCTGGGACCACAAGACGTCAGTGGAGTCAGGACCCCCAATGCTCAGAGGAGTAACTCAGTGGGTGGAGCTGCAGGAGCCCATGCCACAGCCACACAGAACCAAGGACTGGGACCCAAATTCCCCTTTGGGAAAACTAAGTTGTCAGAAGGGAAACCACTCTCACCTCTGCAACAGTCCCCCGAGAGACGCTGAACCACAGCCCCGCCTCATGGGTCCATCTGGAGCAGAAGCAGGAGTGACCAGAGGAGGATGTTTCCCCCGTCACTCAGCTAGCTACTAGTTAACATGAGAAAACAGCATCCATTCCAATCAGAATCCTGCCATTTCCACAGCAAAGACACATATTGCAGAGATGGAAGACAAGCTCCACATGAGCCTCTGACTGGTGGCGGCCTGAAACTGTGCAGTGCACAGCCTGTGGGGATGGCCTGGAGGGCCTGTCTGGAGCACTGAAAGGAGGACTTAGGGAAACAGCTGCAACAATTTGAAAGAGAGTATCACCCTTTTGATTCAAAAGCTCACTCTAGAGAAGAGGTTGGCAAAGTTTTTACATACAGAGCTAGTTGGTAAATATTCTAGGCTCTGCAAGCCACATGGTCTCTGTGGCTGCTACTCAACTTTGGCCCTGCAGTGCAAAAGCAATAGCCACAGATAATATGTCAATGAATGAATGTGGCTGTGTTTTAATAAAACTTTATTTACAAAAATAGGCAGGGGGGCCATAGTTTGCAGACCTCTGCTCTAGGGACCTAAAAAGTTTACATCTAAGATGAATTACATCCATATAAAATGTATATAGATGTGAAAGGGAAAAACATTAAAGGCTATTTAAGTGTGGTAGGAATTATTTGCTTTGTATTTGAAATTAAAAATTGTCTTTGACATTGTTATTTCCAATGATAACATTTACACACAAAACCCATTGTTACTGAGTGTGCATGGGTGTGCTCCCCACAGAGGACCCCACATTCCACCCCCGCATGCCCTCTTGTGCCCACCCCTGCCCTGCACGTTGTGTCTCAGGGAGCAGCGGACATACCTTGTTCTCTTTGCTGATCTCTCTGCTCCATGGACACTAGGGCAGAGAAATGTGCCTGATCATAGGCAAGAACCAGAGGTGAGCAATGGCACCTGTTGGGAGGCACCTCCAAGGGCAGGTAAATCCCTCCAAATGGGATTGGAGCAAATGCTGCAGAAAGAAATGGTGAGAGCATGTGTAGCCTGACGCAGACCTAAGTGGTATCCCTTACCACCCTGCATGAAGTTGTGGGGCAGAAGGAAGGGAAGGTCATCAGCCTTAGGTCATTAGCCACCCGTAGGTTGATATTCTCAAAGCAGTAAGCTAGGTGTTGTCCATCTGGAAGTGGGTGAGAGGGCTCAGGTTCACAGGTACCAGGTGGATGAGACCTGGAGTCCCATGCATGCCCAGGGAACCCCTCACTCTCTCCTGCCTCCATGGCAGAGTCCTTCTGGTTTCTCCCTCTGCCCTGTCAGGCTGCACTCTGGGGACAAGAGGAACAGGGCTGAGGGCTTTTGGCTGTGATCTTTCCAGGGATGGCCTGCTGCCCTGAGACCTGCACAGGTGACCCAGAGCTCACAATAATCAGTAGTGACATGCGCTGAACACTGCCTGGAAATCCATGTTTTTCTGGATGAGCTTCTTCCTCTCCTTGTGTTCATTACAGCATTTATATACAGAATGATATTGGTGCTTCTTGAGAGCTTGCTTGTTCTGTATTTTGAGAAGCTCTTCTGTTGAGTCCAAAGGAACCAACCAGAAAACTCCAGCACCAAGTTGTGAGTCAGATGGGAAATGAGAGATGAGGATTGGCTTCTTCAGCAACTGGGACACAATCATGTTCATTTCCTTACTCATCAAAGGGAGGGATGAGAAGCCTAAGTCCTCACTGAAACAGAAAAACTCCTGGAAATATCTGTCGTGCCAAAGCATCTGCTTCTTAATGATAAGAACTTTGTCTCTCTTGGCCTTGGAGTGAGTGACTCACTCCCTATATTTCTGTGAGCCGAATGCAGGCAAAATTAGCTTCTGTGATACTTTTGAGGAACTCTTAGGTTTCCTTCCTCCAGCCCTGCTTTATCCACATTGGTTTCTGCTGTGGTTCTGCCCATGGGCTAAGAGGTAGGGTAGGCCCACTTGGAGAGGGCTGTGCCATTGAGCACAGGTAGGATGGAAGGAAGCATGGACCTAGCCGTGTGGGATCTGATGGGTACAGGTCCGTGTGCCCAGGGACCCCAGTTAGAGTTCTGGCTCTGTACCCGGAGAGGACGAAGACCATGTTGCTGGCCAGCACAGGGAAGAAAGTGGCACTGGGCAGGAACAAGGTCTTCCCACCATGACAACCAAGGCCCCATTAGACTTCCTTTGGCAGTTGTAACTCAGCACGGAGAGCCTCATCCTAATTTGCAGGACTCTCTGGAAGACCCATGACTTTTGTTAAGGCTCGGATTTAAATTTAGGTTAGGCTGGGGGGATAGTCACTGTCCAACATTTACCTGGCAAAGAGACTTTTTTGAAAAGTGATGAAAGGGAACCACGGCACAAAAGGGACTGGCTTGTCCTAGTGATGGAAGCGAAGGGAAAGTGGAAACAGTCTGGGAGGGGCTGGACCTGGGGAGTTGTGCTGAGTGGCAGGGGCAGTTGCAGAGGGGGTGACCTTCCTGGCTCCTCCTCTTTCCCTCCTCTTTCAAGAGCATGGCTTCCCTGGTGAACTTTGGAAGTGGCCTCACCACTTGCTTGGGCAGAAAAGCTGGAGGGAGGACCAGGTGCAGGCACTTCCTGCCCTGGGTTGACCAGGTTCCTTCAAGGCCTTAGCCCTCAGGGCTTCATTCCAGCTGACACTCAGCCAGATTTCTCATAGCTACTTGCCATCGACACAAAGCTGGTTGGGTGGATGGCCAAGAGTAACCCCTCCCACCACTGGGGAAGAAAAAGAAACACATGGAATTGAGGAGAAATGAGGAGAGATACTACAATCTTCACCCACACAGAATAAGGCTCTGTCGCCTTCTGGGATCCTCAACTCGTACATTAGGCTGTCTCTTCCTTAATCGGGATGTTATGTTTTTTGGGTCATGAGTCCTATATGACTGTTTTATTATGTAGGAACTTACCTTCTCCACCCGAGTCCCTCAACATTGTATCTGCTACGACAACTATTGGTCTTCTTAATATGTGGGCGAGGACAAACACATGGAATTCCTCTAGACTCTCATACACGGGGTCCTCAGAGTTGTCCACACTAGGAGACAAAGCAAAGCAAGCCTGAGTTAGGGTGGGGGATGTGGGAGATATTGAAGACAATATCTTCCATCTAGATCTTACCTCTATGGACCCTGCCTGTTGAGGCCTTCTGAAACCACCTCCCTGCCATGCCACCCACTGATGGCAAAAACACAAGCCCCAGCTCCTCACCCCCACCCTACATTGGGTGGTCTTGGGGGACAATGGGAGAGAAGCTGCTGGTGATGGCTGCTTGCCACTTTTAAGACAAGGACCCCTTGTGGCAGAGGCAGCCCACCCAGAGTGGATGGCAACATGGAGGCTAGTTATCTGGGGGCACTTAACAAGGATATGGTGAGGGCAGGAGGGATGGAGGCTTCCATTTTTGTTCATTCCTATATCCAGCAGCTTGAGTTGAACCTTACTGATTAGGGGCACAGGTGTTCCTGCACATGTCAGGTTGGAGGTAGGGCATTGCTACCAAGATCTGAGGGCCTTTCTCAGAAATAGTCCCCCTGACAGAAAAGCGTGGTGAGGAGGTTGCCTAGGTTTCAATCCTCAGAGCAAGAGTGGTGTGGCTCTGAATGCTCAACCCAGGCTACTTGGACCCTCTGCAGCCCACCCTCTGACTCATGCCTGAGGCTAAGGGAAAGAGTAGGCTCCAAGAAATGCTTTCACTTAGAACTCAGATATTGGGGCAGAAGATTTCAACAACCAGGCCACCCCAAGCAAGGCAAGAGCCCATCGAGATGAAAGAGTTAGAGCTCACAGCTTGATGGGGCCTCTGCAGCATCTGTGGTACCAGCTAAGGTGGCAGCATCAAGACAAGACCCTCAGGTGGCACTTGGACTTAGTCCTGAGTGCTTGGGGGATTCCCAGAATTAACTGAGAGAGTCTGGGAGGACTGGAGCAGGTGAGACCAGAGCTAGCAAGTGTAGCTCTGCTGGAGAATCCAGAATTGGGTAGCCTGGGGAAAACAGCTCTACATTCACAGCCCACAGTTAATACCTTGAGTTACTTAATTTAAAAAAAAATATTTATTTACTTTTTTGAGAGAGAGAGAGAAAGAGAGCTAGCGAGCATGAGTAGGGGAGGTACAGAGAAGGAGACAGAGTCTGAAGCAGACTCCAGGCTATGAGCTGTTAGCACAGAGCCTGATGCAGGGCTCAAACCCATGAGCTGTGAGATCCTGACCTGAGCCAAAGTCAGATGCTTAACCAAGTGAGCCACCCAGGAGCCCCTGCTTGAGTTACTTCTAGAACAAAAAGTGACTCTTCAGGAATGCATCAATCACCTGGAAAGTTTTGTGGTTGTTATACATACTTTTTAAAGTTTATTTATTTTTGGTGATTCAAAATACCTTACTTTTATACTTAAAAATATTTGGCAGCAACCAAAAGATGACAAAAAGTTGCAAGTATAGTATAAATTACTTGTTGTTGCTGTTCGGAATCATTTGAAAGTAAATTGCCCATCTGAAATCCTAACACCTTGGAAAAGTTCAGGTGCACATCCTACAAACAGAATATTCTTCTACAACACAGTCATCAAAATCAAGGGTACATCCAATTACTAATACACTGATAGATTTAATCACCCTGACAGATCCCAGTCTGCTAACTGTCCCCAAAATGCCTTTTAAATGAAGACTCCAGCATGCTGCTTTTAGTTCTGGGGTCTCTTTGGACTCCTTTGGTCTGGAACATGTCTTAGGGTTTCCTTGACTTTCATGACTTTGACACTTTTGAAGACCAAGGGCCTAATATTTTGTAGACTATCCTTAGTCTGGGTTCATATTTTTCCTGATGTGATCAGATTATATTGAATTATCTGTGTCCTCACAGCATCAGGTGGTCTGAGCCTTTGGGTGATGTTGACTTGGGCCACAGCCTTTGGGCCACTTGCGAGGCATCCCCGTACAGAGATATTCATTTCTCCTCTGTTATTGAGAAGCATTTTGTGGGGAGGAATTTCAAATCTGTGCACATAGCCTACTCCTCATCAAATCTTTATACATTTATTGATATCACTATGGATTTCTAGTTTCTATGTTATCCAATGAGTTATAATCCACTAGTGATTATTTTGATGTTCAGATATGCCCTGATTGTGTTAGTGTGGCTCATTCAAACTGTGTCCTTGTGACACAACCCTATCATTATTCAGAGTACTTCCTTGCATTCTGACATAAAAATATGGTCCAGTTTCATCTTGTACTTGCTCTGTCTCAGCCCTGGATTCAGTCATTTCTCCACGGAGTCTTTTTTTTTTTTTTTTAATAGTGGATAATGGTGTTTAGAAGTCAAAATATGATCATCACTGTTGGGATGTCACTGCTTCTAGACTCAGTGAATAGGGATGTGTGTGTTGTATGTACACAGATACTTTCATCTGTCATCTCTAAGTTAACTCTGAGTCCATGGATACCTCCAATTCCAATCTAACACCCCAAAATAAATTCTACTCATAACTCCCTTCTCCAACAGTGAGAATCCTGTTTCCATTAATCTTAAACTCTTTTCCTTACTTGATCAATCTCTCCAGATGTAAGCAGTTCCCCACCTCTGCTGCCACCCTGCCCCTGAGTTGTCCTCTTCACCCTACTGGCTCTGACACTCTGGCTTTGATCCTCTGGGTCCTACTGACACCCTGCCTGCCGGCTGCAGATACTCACCTTGCTTTGCCACACTGTATGGCTTAGGGCTGAATTTTTCAGGAAGGGAAGAGAAAGGGAAAAGGAGTGTTTTAAATACACACACACACATGGCAAGTCTAAACACAGTGCTCGTGGGTGTGCATTTAAAAATATCCCAGGTGATTATCCTGTCCAGCCATAGCTCAGAGGGAGGCTGCTGGGTGTGTGAGGTTCAAATGATTCCAAAAGCTGCTTGCTTGTCCCTGTCACACAGTAAGTGAGCAGGCAAGTGGATGGTTGAAGAAGACAGTAGGTAGCAATGGACAGGAGGGAACAAAGAAATACAGCTGAATACTCAGAGAAAAATATCCCAGTTAGAAATGTGGAGTGTCATTTCTTGCCTAATCCAGTGGATGGAGAGGTCAGCACTGGAAAGAAATGAGGCATCAGAAAGTCAGATAGTAATGCTGAGAAGAAATGACAAGGTGAGGAGTAGCTCTCTCAGCTCTGGGTTCTCAGTTGCACCTTCACTCCATGATGAAATACTCTGGTGTCTAAATAGCTATGTAGAAGTGGCTCACCGCAGCAACAGTGCAAGGGCTGATGTAGTATGAGGTGCTGTTGTACTGCCACAACATTCTATACATGCAAAATTTAAAACAGGGACAGTGTATTTCAAACTGAAAAACCAGCCAGTATTTGCTGAGCACTTACTATATGCTGGCATGCTGGCATGGTAAAAGGCACAACAGAGGCCTTCAAGTGACATCTGCCCCTCCATCTGTCTGTTGAGTCATGTATTCACACACATATCCATTCATCTGTCCATCCACCCACCTGTCCACATACTTTCATCCATCTACCATCCATTCTTCCATCCATCCATCCATCCATCCATCCATTCACTTGTCTATTTACCCACCCACACATCCATCTGTCTGTCTGTCTTTCCCTAGTTCTGTACAAGGAATGGAACACAGAGTTGGGCCATGTTGGGAGAGGGTGATGGAGGAGATCCAGGAGCACAGCGACCTCTTTCCATACCAGTTGAGCCAAAGATCAACTGTGAACCTTCAGTGACCCAGAGGTTGCAGAGAAAGTCCTAGCTGCATCCTGGAGGCAGCTTGAGAATCATAATATCCTTCCTTCCTTGTTCCCAGCTGCTTGCTTGCATGGTTTAAGGGAGTGAGTTTGAAACGGGGGTGGTTGCTGGTTCTACACTTACCCCTCAACACCACTGCCATGCTCCAGTGCTTCTGAAGCCTCGGTGTCCCCGTTGTGTGGAACGCTGGCTGAGAACATTGGACCAGCAACTCCCTTAGGCTGTTCCATGGTGCAGATAGGATCATTTCTGGGACAGGACTTTGGAGCTGTGACCTGCCTATGTGAATTACTGGGATTGATCCCACTGGCAAAAATCAGCTGTAGTGAAACAAATCTTGAATATTCTCTTACATTTCTTACCCGGAGGCTTAACATCATCTTCTTGTGAGTTCACTGAGCAAACGCTAAGTTTGGGATTGAATCTGGCCTTTGGGGAAAAACATGTAAAAGTCCCTAAAACACTTAATTGGTGTTTGCTGGTAAGAAGGTCAACATGCAAATATAACTAATTAATTCTCAAAGAGACTGTGGCATGCCCCAAGAACTTCCTAATGTGCTCTATGACATAACACACATGCACTCATCACCTCTTCTTCAGTGTATACCTGGGGAAAGAGAAGTCCTGAGAACAGGACCACACCATCCACCCAGTGAAAACCCCCTGGGGATGAAAACCAGGGCAGAGGTTGGCCTGGGAGCCTTCTTCAGGTAGGACCGCAAAGCAAAGGTAGTAGAGTGAGGTCCAGATGGTATCTCAGGCCACAGAGGGTGGTGGCAGGAGTGAAAAGTACAGTGAAGATTTGGGGGTGCCTTGGCTTACATAGCAGTCACAACCCTTGGAGTCCACCCAGCAAAAGTCTGTGTCATGTACAAGGAAGCCAATCTAGGCAGCTGGCAGGGTCAAGGACAGTCATCAGGCCACACAGAGGGGCAGCTTGGGCACAGGCATCCCAGGATCCTCCCTGTGTCCCTCTCCCCCAGGTATGGTGACCATATCTCATTTTGCTCAGGGAAGTCCTGGTTTATATATCTTGGGTGGTTGGTACTCACTCTTCCTCCCCAAAATGCACCAGCTTGGATGAGAAATTGTATAGTCACCCCATCGATGGTGACATAGTTACTGGTTATTGGTGTGCCCTTCCATTTAAAGAAAGAAGATAAAGATATTTCCATTCTTCACACATACACATACTCCCCTCCACCTCTAGGTGTAAGATGGGGCATTACACTTGCTCTTCTGACCCCTGCTTTTTCCTTCTTAACAGTGCATCTCAGAGATG